AAGCTGGTTTTCTACCCCAGCAGCTCGATTTCCGGCACACAGGGACAGCTCGCTCCTGTGCCTCCAGAATTTCCTTTTTGAATAGTAACCAACCCTCCTGCCCCCCCCTTACCCTTGAGAGCTGTCTCCCATTGTATATGTATGCAGCCTGATTTTCTTTCTCCTCTGAAGTGAGGGCTTGTTTCCTCGATCTCTGAAACAAACAGAAAAGGTATGCACTCAGTGCTTGAGAAGACTCAGGCCAGAGTGTTAGAGATTTAATTATCATTTAGTGATAATTCTTTATGCTGAGGGTTCAGTCTTCTCCTTCCTTGCATGTAGGTGGGAGGGGGCTTTCTCTTCAGATCAAGCTGCAGAGAGGAGTCAGAAATGGACCACCTGGAAGAGCGCTCTACGTAAGGCCAAGAGCAGGTTTGAAAACAGACCTGCTTTCCGTGGCTGTGTGTTGTTCCCTGTCTCCCTTTGCTCCTTGGAGCTGACGCTGCTCTAGAGAAAAGCATTGCTGCTGCGCTGGACCATTTCACCTCCACCCAGCTGCAGAGCACAGATCCCTGAATTTTCTTTCTTTCTTCTTCTTCCTCTGCAGAGACTCCCCAGCTGAATCCTGTGATGGAGCCCCTGTCCTGGATGCTGGGCACCTGGCTCTCAGACCCGCCAGGGGATGGCACCTTCCCTACCATGAAGCCCTTCCAGTACCTGGAAGAAGTGCACATCTCTCACGTGGGGCAGCCCATGCTCAACTTCTCGTAAGTCTAGGGCTTTATTTGTGTGGGCAGCAGCCTTTGGACTGGAGCAGGTATGGCTCCAGTGAGATTTGTTGGTTGTGTTTCTTTTCCAGTGGCAAAGTAAACAAGTTTTCACCTACCAAATGAGACGATGTAATGATATGCGAGTCCGTGGTCTTGACTTTTATTTTCCTTTAAAACTTGTGGTTGCAAGATACCCAAAGCTGCACACCTGCAGTCACTGAAGATTCACTAGCCCAAGAGTACAGAGCTTTTCAACAGTGAGTTCACACCTGTGAAGTTGTGCAGAAGCACATATGTACAGGATCAGGACTGTGGCCACGGTGCCATGTACAGTTCTTGTGGCTCGCCACGCCAGTCTTGATGGTTACATAGTGAGAAGTAACTCAGGGTGCTGCAAATGTGGCTGAAACTTAGAATATGAGAGTAACTGGGGGTACCAGGAATGGCCTTGGGATGGAGATCACTATTGTTTGTGCAAATTCCATACCTGCCTTTGAAAGACCAATCATCCTTCCACTTCAGCGTGATGCACACTGAGTGCACTTGTTAGCCAAAAGATGTACTGTCCTCATGACCAGAAAAAAAAAACCCACCATTCTTCTTGCTGGTGGTAGGTGTCTAACTGGAAGTGAATCTTCAGGTAATAGCGTTACAACTGCTGTTGTTCTGCTTTGTGAAGCCCCCACTTGCAGGTCAAATAAATGAAGGAGCTATGGCATGGCTGCCGCGTTTGTCCACTTTAAACTGTGCTCCTCAGTCTTCACTACTGTGAAAATCTGAGAAAAATTAAAATGTTTAACAAACTGTATGGAGTAGGAGACAGGTAGCTTGACTGCTTTGGCTGCAAGTAATGGTTCAAAGAGAAACAGAGTTTCTCAGTGTTCTGAAACAGTTTCCTCAGTGTTTCTTTAATTGTTCTAAGAGAAAAAGAGGAAGAGAAGTGATGTGTTACCTAACTGTTCAGTGCTGCTCCAATACTCATTTGGGAAGGGTGAACTGGAAAGTTTGGTGCTTTGAAAACCAGAGAAAAGAACAATTACAAGATGCCAATGCCGTGTAAAAGATGCCCTGTGTTCCTGGTGCACACTGTTCATGGTGACAGAGCTGCCAGCTCAGGAAGTGATATTTTTAGTCCAGTTTCCAAAAGAAAGAAATCTGACAGTCATGCTCTGTCTACACCTCCCTCTCCAACTTTTGAACAGTTCCTGATTTGAGTTGGTTGGTTTGGGGTTTGTTTGTTTTCTTTTGATGCTGAGGAGATACAGCTCAGAGCTGTTGAGCACTGGGAAGCATCAGGAGAATAGACAGCAGGCCTGGAGGACGGAGCTCCTGTGCCTCCCTGGCTCCTGGAGCAGTGCCACCTGACTGTTACAAGACAGTCCGTACGTCTCTTGAATACTCTAAGCACTGAAAGAAGCCTGATTTAAGTCCGTTCCTCCTTTGATTCCAGATGATCCCACCATGAGGCACGACTCCGTAGGGTACCTGGCTTCACGAGTTGCAGAGCACAGAGGCTGAGGTGCTAGGACAGTCCTTAGCAGGGATGCAGCCCCACGCCACCGACAGAAGTCATTTCTCATGCTTCCTAAAACAACATGGCTAAAAGAACACATCCTTTATAGAGAGACAAAGCCAACCAGGAGGAGTAATTTGTGTATTTTACCCAGAAGATGTTGGGGAGCTGAAAGCAGCTGCAAGGCACCCAGACTCATCCCTAACTCCATGCCTTAGCCATGCTCCTCTTTCCTTGTGTCCACTTCTTCGAAGCCCATGTGTTTCTTGTACAATGTGTAGGGATGCCATGTGCTGCACCTTGTGCTGCTGGTCTTCTAGTAAATGTTGACTCTGCGTGATTTGTTATATTTTATTCCACGCAGGAAACACTTGCTTGGGACTTTTCAGCTCTCAGTGCTTCTTTAATAAATAACTGCTCAAGCTTGCCACGTGCCAGCACCTGGACAAGCCCCTTGGTCAAGCTCTTCTTGCACTTACCCTGTTACTGTTGGGGTGGCAGCTGATGATAGAGAACATCCCCAGTCCCAGGACAGGTCACGGTGGCCAAAGTGACTGGTGTTGGCTGTTTCCAGCAGGCACATCCCAGTTGCACAGCAGAGGCATGTGTGGAAACCGCTGTCGCATGAGTGCAGATTTAACAGCAGCATCTCTGAGGCTGCCTCTGTCTCCTTTCCTGTAGAAGGATGAAGAGTGGGAAATTCTATGAAAAACAGTATGAAAAGAGATTCATCTAGAATGAAGAAACAGCAGTAGGATAGTCCACTTAGTGGTGGAGACACCGAGCTTGCTGTTGTTCTTTGCAGGTTAAGCTTAACCTCTTGCAGCAGGTTAAGCTGCTCTTTAATTCAGTTACCTATGTAGACTCAGCAATGCTGTAGCACTGAGATAATATATGAGCATGTGTGATATACATAATCACCCACATTATGGGTGACCATACAATTCTAAGGCCTCCTGAAGAATAAATATGTGATATATATAATCACCCACATTATGGGTGACCAAACATACAATTCTAAGGCCTCCTGAAGAATAAATAAGAATCTGAGCTCAACTTTTGGGGTTTTTTTTTGAAGGGGGTAGTGGAAGAAATAAGTCTGCTCTGTAACTGCCTGCAGGAAGTAATATACAAAAAAAATAAAATCAACTTGCTAGCTTTAAAAGCTACATAAAGATGATACTGTAATTCCAGATATTTATTTGAGAAAAGGAAGTGTTTGAGACAGAGTATGGCTTCTGCATCTGTGAAATGTCTGATTTCCTGAGGGAGTTTCTGAGCTGGCTCTTAGAAGGACCCAGGAGCTGTGGAGCATCTGCAGCTGGAGCTGAAATAACTAACTCCAGCTCTACGAAATAGCTGTACCTGTAAAGTAACCGTATTTTCACACGTTCACGTCTCCCAGCTGTGAAGTGTTGTCAGCCTTTTACTCTTCACACAATACTTCAGGCAATCACGTGGTTAAATAAACCACCGTTTCCTCTGAGATGAAACCAGGCCAAGCACTGGATTTTCAGTGCAACAAACAGCAGCTTTTGTATTTTTGTGTTTTGATTTCCCCTCCAGGTTCAACGCCTTCCATCCCGACACCAGGAAGCCCATGCACCGAGAATGTGGATTCATCCGCCTCAAACCAGACACTAATAAAGTGGCCTTCATCAGTGCCCAGAACACAGGTACACACCTGATGTCCATGCTGGAGAAGAGGTCCTTACCCTGCTGTGCCATTTCATCACTTTTCCAGAAAATTATTGCACCTCTCAGTGTCTCATTTAATTTGTTTTCACTGAACCCGCAGTGAAAACAAATTAATAAATGAGCTTGTGTCAAAAGCACTGAGTTTCTAGGACTGGCTTTGCCCAGACAGTGTGGTTTTCTAGCCTTCTGTGACAGGAAAGGACTGGAAGTTGAAATATCTCCCATACAGGAGACTCGAGGGGTGTCCTTTCCTCAAGTGCTATGTTTGTATTTGCAGATGGAGCTCTGGCACCACCAAGAGCCTCTGCAGCACTATAGCAGGAGAGCTTCTCTCCTGTTTCCTTAACGATCTTGGAGAGTAATCTCAGTGCAATCTTCTTAGCTCCTAAGCTAGGAGAATCTTCCGCTGTCTGGAGGTAGTGCCTTGGTACTTGTTACACATCTTACAGGGACTGAACGAGAGAGAGAACCACGTCTAAATTATTACAAGT